ACAACTTTTCAGTGGTCAATGTGCTACAAAAAGAACTAGACGGAACAGTGTATGTCACATTTAAAAGAAAATTAGAAAAAAAAAAAAAGAGTCAAGCAAATAAATTATTAGCTGAAGTACAGGCAGCACAGAAGCTGCTCCCAAAATTAGATTAGCAAAGCACAAGACCATTCTACATTATTGAGCTATCAGCAGCAGAAGGAAGTGAGCTTTCTCAGATTATATCACCTTCATTTTAAATTCTGCAAAAAATGTTAAAAGGTCTAAGAACAGAACATGAGTAAATCAAAGCTTTATTCTGCTATATTTTCTCCCTGATTCCTAAACCACTTTTTAAAAATAACATTTTCTCCTTGTTCAAATCTGGACACACATAGAAATTCAAGCTTTTTCTTTGAAGCAACAATCAAATCACTATTTAGATACAATTAAAAAAAAAACAGTATTGTAGCCAAATTATATTTTTGGGAATATCAAAACAGATTTCTGTACAGGAAAGGTCATTCAAAGCAAAACCTGTGACATTTAAAAGGCCCCATTACAACACAATATTACACATGTGCTGGGGCACAAGAAGACCCAGTCATGCAGTATTTCTACAAATAAACACACAGACAACAAAGTTCATCTTTCAATAATAAGCTCCAAATGAGAGGAAAAGCTTCAGTCGTGCCAAACTTATCTCCGGTTGCACACAGCTGAACCTGAAAATCTCAAGGAGTAGAGAAAACTTGAATTAAGGAGTGAGCAAGTGGCACGGGTTAAACCAAGACTTGGTCTAGGCTATTACCACTAAAAGGCTAAATTGTTGAATTTAGTTATTGCTTGAAGTCAGCAAAACTGGAAGTTTTTACCCATTATGTCATTGAGTCAGAAGAGAAGTATCTCATTAATACCTCCAGAAAGGAGGTCTTCTTGCTGCTCCAGACTCATTTCCAATAGTTTTGAAGACCTGCTTCCCCCATTGCCCTCTTTCAAACCTTGGTTCTGTGCTTTATCAGGCAGGCTGCACAAGCAGGTCACCTCTTTCTCTTGCAAATGGAAACAGACAGTGGCCACTGGCCCTTCAGGCTGTTTTTCATAACCTCTCTATTTCAGCTGTGCCGCAGCCACTTCACCGTACTGCTGCTATAAGACTGTCTGACTACAGGTTATAGAGACAAACAAAAATCAAACAAACACAAAAACCTTCACATGGGAAAATAAACATCACCATAAGAATTAGTTAGGTGTTCCTCGGGTCCCAGCCCATTCTTGTGTCTGTCACCACTTCATCTGTTTTGCAGTCACAAAGTCTCTCAGATGAGGAGGACAGCACATTGAGTCTCGACCTTTGAGATGCAAACCTAGCCTTGAGCAACTTGGTGACCCACATGGCAGCTGCACAACTCGATAACTAGTTGGCTGGAGTCTAAAAATGCATGATTCATTTCTGATTCTCTGATTCTCCCCACACTGCACCATATGCTGTCACTAGACTATTTGCTAAAAAAATGTAATTTCCAAAAGCAAACTTTATTAGCTTGGTCGCCCGATGAAACACTACTTTAAAAGAACTTTAATAATAAAAGAAACATGTATTTTCTTTTCCTACCTAAACACCGAAATTTACAGAAGAAGGAAAAAAATACACACGTGTGCATATGCAGCTTTTAAGTATATCTCCTCCCACTTATTTTTCCTAAAACAAATACCCAGTGTTATAGACGAGTAACATACAATTCTTGTTGTATATTTTGTAGAGCCAAAGATCTACAGTGCATCTGAAAATTAGCATACACCTCTGCCCAGAAGTGGTACCAGGTTCCTGTGATACTAATCTACATGTACAAGCCAACTGCTGGAAAGACATACTTGAAAAAGTAGGGTTTCATAAAACTTGGTGTGCTAAACTGTATCAAATCATACCTATACACCTCATCATCTAGACTAGCTACATATCTCCCCTCCCTTTTCCCTGAACAGCAAGAATTTCAGTCATCACATTCCTTACTGCATCCTGTGTCCTTAGGAGACTCTGATGGCATTTCTTAGTGTTGTAGAATTAGGATTTCTCATCCTCTTAATGACAAAAACACAGCTGTCCATCATGTTCCAGCCAGCACAACCCTGGCATCTCTACTGTTAACCCAGCAGCACATCATCTGGGCCATTTTGTCCCAGTGAACATGCATCAATATGCACATATAGATCTAACTGGCACATGGGAGTTCCTTTCATTAAAAAAAAAAAAATTAGTATTGCTAAAGCTCCTAGCAAGTTTTGTCCACACTATGAAGTTCAAATACAGGTCTGACAAAGAGACTAAAGACAAAAAGTTGAGTGGTTTGGGATTCATTAATTCATTCTAGTGTCTAAAAAGCTATGTGCACACAGAAGGATAAAGAAACAATCTGAGCTAGTCTGACATTTTAAATGCTTTTGTCAGTGTACAGACACAGGAAAACAAGTTCTAAATGAGATTATAACAGAATTCAATCTTCAGAATTATCCTTAGAAATCTAATAGTTAAAATATTTTCAACAGTGATTTTTCTCTTGCCTGCAGAATGAGCCACAACAACGCAATACCATACAACTTGTTCTGAGCTCATTGCTCCACCTTGCCTAATACAACACCTAAAGTGTTAAAGTAACTATTTTTCTACTCTGTAGACATTGAAGGGAATACTCTCAGCATATGTAAATCTATTGAATACTTCAAGCCCAAAGAACTGTCATAACATCGTCTCAGAATCTGACCTTAAATTTATGATTGTTTAAAGAGACTAATTTTTAAAGATGCCAAATAAGTTCTGCAAAGCTTCCATTAACTTCAAGAAAAGACTCTGAAGGCCATGCTGCTTCTTATTCAATAAATCTTATAACCATACTCTTCACTAATGAGAGCACTAGAATGATACACATACAAAATGTTTTCAGTGATTTCTTGTTACTTCCAGGTCACACGCCGTTCAAGAGTAACTAGTAGGCAACCACGGACTGGGAGAGGAGCGTGTGTGGAGCAGCCTGCCAAAGGGCTCTGGGGGTGCTGGCGGGCAGCAGCTCAGGGTGAGCCAGCAGTGTGTGCCCGGGCAGCCAGGAGGGCAAACCCCATCCCGGGGGGCAGCAGACACAGCATCACCAGCTGGGATTGGGATCATCCTGCCGGATTCGGCCCTGGTGCCCTCACCCTGAGTCCTGTGTGCAGGGCTGGGCCCCACGCTCTGAGAAGGGTGGGAAGGAGGTCCTGGAATGGTCCGGAGGAGGACAACAGAGCTGGTGGAAGGGCTGGAAGGCACATCCTATGAGGAGGGGCTGAGGGCTCTGGGTCTGTCTGGGCTGGAGAGAAGGAGGCTCAGGGGTGACCTCATTGCTCTGTACAGCTCCCTGGGCAGGGGACCTGGAGAGGGAATGCTGCTGTGTTCCTGGCATCCAGCAACATGGAACAGGAATGGCTCAAAGCTGCATCAGGGGAGGTTCAGACTGGATATCAGCAAACTTTTCTTTACCAAGAGGATGGTCAAACACTAGAGCAAGCTTCCTGGAACTGATGCCTTAAAAAGAGACACTTGGGCAATGCTCTCGGTAACAGGCTTTATGTTCTGGTCAGCCCCAGAGAAGTCAGGCAATTGGACTAGGGGATTGTTTTAGGTCCTTTTCAACCGGAACTATCTTACTCTATTCTGTGTTAAATAGCTCTGTTAGAACTAACAAAAACATAGTTTGGTCCCAGCAAAAATGAATCTTGCATTTCATGGCACTTGGAGTTTTTCAGCCATAATGGTCTTAGTATAAGATTACCAACTCGATTTAAAGATGTAGTTTTTTCTGTCAGAGAAACAGAAATACCAACTGTGAGTGACAAACAACTTCCTAAAAGGCCACTCACATCTTCTGATCTGGATGCCAAGTTCGTCTCTGTTATTCTGTGAACACTGTGGAAATTTCAGAGGGTAACTTGATTTTCATGCTTGCCGTTAAATCTGTAAGAATCTCTACGTCTTCCATAGTGTAACCAGAGTTACAGTTCCTGTCAGAACAACTGAAATACCCCTGCTTTCATGCATTACAAACATTGCTGCTACACCACAAAGGCACAGACTCCTCAGTGTTTGCATCTATCCTTAATACTTGAAGGAAGAAAGAGGGACTAAGTAATTAGGAAGAAGCACTTCGGCGAAGTTGTTTTTTGTTGGTTTTTCCCCCCCCCCCCCCAACCACACAGCAACTACTATCACTGAAAAGCCTGCTCCAAGTTATCTTTTGTCTTAGATGAAGAGAAAGAGGGGGCAGAGCTTCATTTTGAACTCTGCCCGCTATCTCCGTAACGGCGGTTCCCGACACCGCACGCCGCGGGCCTTGCTTCCAGGGCAGGGCTTTCCCGGTGTCGGAGAGCGAGTCCTCCCGCACATCGGCTCCGCAGCCTGCGCTGCCGTGCGGGCGCCCCGTTACCCCCGCGGGACGGGGATGTGGCCGCCGGGGTTTCCCTGCTCGCCCAGGCCACCGCAGCCCAGAGCGCTGCTCCCGCCCGCGGGGACGCTGTGCCGGGAGCGCCGGAGCCCGACGGATCCCGCGGCTCCGGCAGCGGCCGGGCGGGCTCCGCGCCGTGCAGCGCATCGCCGTGGCGCAGCACCGGGAGCCGGCGGAGCAGCCGTGGAGCCGCCCCGCAGGTGCGCGGAGCCCCCGCCGAGAACGGGGCGTGCGGGGAGCGGAGCTCCCGCCGCGGCCGCGCCGCGCCGAGCCCAGCCCAGTCCAGCGCAGCCGAGCCCAGTCCAGCCCAGCCGACACGAGCCCAGCCGAGCCCAGCCGAGCCGAGCCCAGCCCAGCCCAGCCGAGCCCAGCCGCGCCGAGCCCAGCCCAGTCCAGCCCAGCCGAGCCCAGCCCAGCGCAGCCGAGCCCAGCCCAGCCCAGCCGAGCCGAGCCCAGCCCAGCCAGCCGAGCCGCCGCCCGGGCCCTGCGACCCACGAGCCGCCGCCCCCCGAGCCGCCCCGCCGCCGCCGCCCCTTTCCGCGCCGGCACCTGGATGTGGCAGGAGATCTCGGAGTCGTCCAGCAGCCGCACGGTGCATTTCATCTCCGCGCTCAGCGACCTGATGCTGGAGCTCCGGAACCGGATCATCCCGGCAGCCCGCCCGCCGCTGCCGCCCCGCAGGCAGCCGCAGGGGGCCAGCCTGCAGAGGCGCCCGGCCGACCACGGCACGGCACGGCGCGGCGCGGCACGGCGCTGCACGGCGCCACACGGCGCGGAGAGGCGCGGCGGCAGCGCCACCCCTCAGCCCCGCGGCGGTCCGCCGCCGCCCGCCATCCGCCCGCCCGCCGCGGCTCGGGCCGCCGCTGCGTCAGGATGCGCTCCGCTGGCCGGCCTCAGCATCCTCCTGCGCCCGCCCCCGGCACGGCTTGGCACGGCACGGCACGGCCCGCGGGGGCACCTCTCCGCCCTCACCTGCTCCTCCCGCTTCTCCGCCCCACTGGTCCCCGCCGGGTGCCCTGCGCGGCTCCGTTCCTGTCGGGCTGGCAGCGCCCAGGGGGAAATGGACAGCGCGATCGTTTGTCTTCGCCACCACGGGCGTGCCTCGCCTGGTTTTGAGCCCACCTGGGCGACTGGTGCTCGCGTGGGAATGCCCGATGCCCTGCAAACGGGGACAGCCCCCAGGCTGCCGGCGGGGAGCGGAGTCCCCAGGCTGGCTGGCCGCCCATGCCTCCGGCGTATCCCAACACAGCCCGAGGCAGGAGGAGAAGCCTGTGGAATACATATAGTCATGTAAAGAAACCTCACCAAAGATGAGTGTACCCTAATGAAACAGAAGAAAACAGAATACAACTTACTGTAAGAGTGCAAGCCTTGGAAACTTGTTTCCTCAGGGAAAAAAAAAATACCCATTAGGGAACAGCAGTCATACCCCATTTGTTGTCTAAGTGGGAAAGAAAATAAAACATCCAGTGGTTTCACTGTTATGTTCTGCATCACAAAAGGGTGTGTAAAACTTTTGTGTAAAACCTTGCTGGCAGAAAGCAAGCATCAAACTTAACCAGCCTTGAAACAGGCATCAATACTGTGTTAAAAAATTAGCACTTGCCTTTGAAATATGAAATGAAAAACAGCCAGGGCAAATGTGACATGACTGGAAGTTTTTACAAATATAAAAGAAGCACTGACAATCACACATTTCAGTTATTATTGCCCAGTTGTCTGTGATTACCTCTAAATGTCCATATTTTGAAAATAGCTCTGTGTGAGTGTGTTGTTCTTTAGAAAATCCCGTGTAAGAGCATAAGTGCTGCTACTGCTGTAAGCTCTTCCTTTGGCTTTTTGCTGGACTGCTAACAGCAGGAAATACAGGCAACCACAAACAAATGTGAAATATATAATGCTCGCTACCATCAGCTAATAAATATGCAGAGCCCTTTAATGTGGAACATAAAAGAAAAGCTATAAATTTATGCTTCTCTGAAATGATAAATGCTTTCTATTGCATAGTGAATAGTGAAGCAAACCAGTGAGTATTTAAAATAGATTATTCACCTCAGCAGCCAAAGTCAGCCCACAAGTTATGGAAGAAGGTCCTTATCAGCTGAGACACCAGATGTGGACACCTACTCATTAATAATATAATACACTTTATGTCTTACAGTCCTGCAACATGGGAACTCAATAGCAGGATTTAAACCCACATGCAGATTGACTCTCAGGTGACACAGATTTTCCTGCTTCTCATAGAGAAGGAATCTTCTCTTTCTAAGCCAAGTATTTTAGCTTTCCTTCAGTCTCTGCAGCACACTTTTCTCCACCCAAAAGGGGAATTACAAGAGAGAGCTGAGCCAATGTTGAAGATTTAGTGAGCAGGTCATAGCCTACCATTGTCTGAAGGGGGATTTTGCTTTACCTTCAGGACCACATGGAGAGGGATGAGCTTTCCAGGAGTTCTCAGAGTTACAGCAGCAGTGATGACTACAACATGAAATCTGCAGCCCCAAATAAGTGTGAGCACAAGAAGTGTGAACTAGTGTGTACCAACAGCAGCACAGCTGCCTGAGAACAGAGCTCAGCAGAATTTTATTTGCCTGTTGTAAAACCAGGTCACTCCTGTCTTTTTGTTCACTTTATTTGCCTCTTTAATATCTGATGCCATGTTGACCTGAGGTGCCTGAGAAATCTGTGAGACACAGAACCCATTTCTATGTTTCAGCTACCACAGCAATGGTTTTTATGGCACAGAATGTGGCAGCCATCTAACAGGAAGATATCAGATAAATAAAACAATCAAAACCAAATACTCCACCCTGGAGAAAAAAAATCAAAGAACGACCAAAAAACCCAACCAAGAAATGAAAGTTATTTTTGGTTGAAAATAAAACACTCTGCCCAGTTGCAACTTCACAAAGTAATCCATCAGATGAATTTTGCATCACGTATTAGGACTACCTCCCCTACCTTCTTCAAAAAGAATTCTAGGTTTGTTTTTTTCCCTTACAAATAGAAGGCTCTTAGAGTTCTCTAAGTATCATAAATTATGCAGAAAAACCCCACAAACTTACCTCAAAACATATTACAGTGCGCCCTTTTTTGCCAGATCTTGCAGGCCAAACCGTCCTTATATAGCTAGCATTCGGAAATACTACCTGAAAAGGCAGGTACTTGAGGAACTGACATTTAAAACACTATTATGGCAAATACAGGAAAACACAAAGCAACCCATAGATAAATTTAATTCAGTTACCAGAAAATGCTGAGCTGATGGAGTATATAAAAAATATGCTGCTTGAACTTGCAGAATACGCTTTTGACTCAGGGGAAGGTTATCAGCTACTGCTGTTAGACCATGTTATGTTGTTGAGGTGTTTATTGAAGCTCTCACCTGGCTTTGTATTGCCAAAGACCTTGGAAGTTCTAGCAGGAGATTTCAATACCTGATAAAGCCACCTTCAAGAACTGGACGGTGGTGTGCAGACACATGCTTGAAATGCATTTTAGATCCATCAGTCTCAGAACTACTCCATTCAATAGCCACATTCCCATTCTTTCTTCGCCTAACTGGTCTGAATGACTTTGCTTTGGGATGAGCGCATGTGGATGTCCTAAAGGACAGCAGCCTACTTACCTAGGAATTGCTGCCAGATACTATGTGGGACAGCAGGGAGCACTAATGAGCTTGAGTGGTACTTTGATATCTGGATGATTCTGCATGGAGTTAAATTACAGAATATAGTTGTCAAGGATTTTCCCTTCAGTGGCTGATAGTAACAGCAACTTAAGCTCTTTCAATTAATGTTTATAATCTAACCAAATATATAAACATTTGATTTGGATTTGTCTGAGTTTTTTTCAAAATACTCGAAGATTAATCCATAAATACAACAGCTATGGCTATAAACACTGCCTGCCATGGGTCAGACCTTGAGTTCCAGCATGGGTAGGCCAAGCACACAAATCACTGTCCCCAGAGGGGTCCTTCCCCAAGGCCCACACCTCCCCATTGCCTCGGCCGTGGGTCCCTCACCGGGCACAGCCATTAGCCTTTGCTCAGAGATCATGGTGCCATAAGTAAACAGACACCTTTTGTGAAGTCTGTGACAGTTTAGATTTTACCCAGTTCCCTTCTACAATAGTATTAGGAACTCCAACACTTAAATATTTCAGATGAAGAGAGATGGTCTGGGCATTAGGCTTCTCCAGAACATGTCCTAAAGAATGGGAGGTGAGGGTTGAGCTAGCAATGAATCAATAGTTCAGAGAGTAGATTCCTGTTGTCAGGAAAGTGTGCCTTTGTTTGTCAAAGGCACAAAGGCACACACCGTATGATTGCAAAATAAATCCAGTTACTAAGCTGAAATTAGCAGTGAGGTAATTGAAGGGTTGGGCATACCAGGCAGCATGCAAAATATGAAAACAAGTAAGAGATTCCACACATATGGGATCTCTTTTGTTTCAGTCTTAAGTAGTTGTCTAAAAAAATCACTTCAGATCAAAAAAACAATTGAAAAAATAAAAATAAAAAACCAGGGGGTTTGCATCTTGAAAGAAAAGGTTTCTTACATGTAAATATTATACCAGTAACTTGAAAACTGTGTATAAAATATTAATGCATATATTGAAAAAACCCTACGAGTATTAAAATATACATAAATTACAAAGAAAAATATATTTAAATAGCAAAAGTTCTACTGCTCACTGGGGGCACAGTTGAGTCAGAAGGTGAACCTTGAATTCACATAGGGTTTCTACTTTCTTTTGCATTACAAAATCAGTTTAAAATATCACATATTTATTGCGTGAATGAGAAAGCAACAAGATACATTAAATGCTACATTATTTGACAGCAGTATAAAAAGACTCAGGATTTTCATGCTTGTACTCTAAAGGGAGCTGTCAATCCTAAAGTCCACTAAGAAGTCCAGGGCTATAAGTAATAAATTTGTTCATAACTGCCCCAGTAGAAAAGACCTGGAGTGTTATTGAAATCTGCAGGACTGTATTGCAACCTGCATGGCATGGACAGTCCTGTCGGCCTCCACATCCCTTGGGGGCACTTGTGCAGCCCAACCATGGCTTTCACGGGGAGAAGTGGCAAGTCAGAGGTAGGTATTTTCTTCCACTGTTTAAGTTTAGCAATCTCTATAAAGATTCAGAACAAAGTATGCCAAGAACATTACAGAACTCACTTTCAGTAGAGAATGATGGGTTGAATTTACTGTACAAACTTTTCAGCAAATTTCCTGCAGATGTCATCTGGAAGCTCGAACTCCAATCAGCATTTGTCTGAGTTAAACTGGATTGCACAATACCACACTTGAAATTTGCTGATGGGAGCAAACTTTGCATTGATTTTAATCTACATAGTACAACTACCAAAAAGGCAAATGTCAGCTTTTAGCCTTTTGGTTTGAAGTAAAAGTCAGTGAGATGATTCTTGTGATTCACTGAGTCCTGGGACTTGCCAAGTTTTCTTATCAGTAGGATCAAAATGCTTCTTTGATATGCTCTTCTCTTTTCAGGGAATATATATCCAGTTATTCTAATCTAATTCTAATCCAATGAGTCTAATATCCTTTTCTGGAAAACTACAGCAGGCAGTGTACTCTCTGTTTCCCATGCTGCATCTCCAAGAAGTGCTCTCAGGA